ACTCCTTGTAAGGAGTCTCTATAGACTCCTAGTAAGGAGTCTCTATAGACTCCTAGTAAGGAGTCTCTATAGACTCCTAGTAAGGAGTCTCTATAGACTCCTTGTAAGGAGTCTCTATAGACTCCTAGTAAGGAGTCTCTATAGACTCCTTGTAAGGAGTCTCTATAGACTCCTTGTAAGGAGTCTCTATAGACTCCTTGTAAGGAGTCTCTATAGACTCCTTGTAAGGAGTCTCTATAGACTCCTTGTAAGGAGTCTCTGTAGACTCCTTGAAAGGAGTCTCTATACACTCCTTGTAAGGAGTCTCTGTAGACTCCTTGAAAGGAGTCTCTGTAGACTCTTTGAAAGGAGCCTCTGTAGACTCCTTGAAAGGAGTCTCTGTAGACTCCTTGAAAGGAGTCTCTGTAGACTCCTTGAAAGGAGTCTCTGTAGACTCCTTGAAAGGAGTCTCTGTAGACTCCTTGAAAGGAGTCTCTGTAGACTCCTTGAAAGGAGTCTCTGTAGACTCCTTGTAAGGAGTCTATATAGACTCTTTGTAAGGAGTCTCTATAGACTCCTCGTAAGGAGTCTCTATAGACTCCTCGTAAGGAGTCTCTATAGACTCCTTGTAAGGAGTCTCTATAGACTCCTTGTAAGGAGTCTTATAGTCTCCTTGTAAGGAGTCTCTATAGACTCCCTGTAAGGAGTCTCTATAGACTCCTTGTAAGGAGTCTCTATAGACTCCTAGTAAGGAGTCTCTATAGACTCCTGTAAGGAGTCTCAATAGACTCCTTGTAAGGAGTCTCTATAGACTCCTAGTAAGGAGTCTCTATAGACTCCTTGTAAGGAGTCTCTATAGACTCCTAGTAAGGAGTCTCTATAGACTCCTTGTAAGGAGTCTCTATAGACTCCTAGTAAGGAGTCTCTATAGACTCCTTGTAAGGAGTCTCTATAGACTCCTAGTAAGGAGTCTCTATAGACTCCTAGTAAGGAGTCTCTATAGACTCCTAGTAAGGAGTCTCTATAGACTCCTTGTAAGGAGTCTCTATAGACTCCTAGTAAGGAGTCTCTATAGACTCCTTGTAAGGAGTCTCTATAGACTCCTTGTAAGGAGTCTCTATAGACTCCTTGTAAGGAGTCTCTATAGACTCCTTGTAAGGAGTCTCTATAGACTCCTTGTAAGGAGTCTCTATAGACTCCTTGTAAGGAGTCTCTATAGACTCCTTGTAAGGAGTCTCTATAGACTCCTTGTAAGGAGTCTCTATAGACTCCTTGTAAGGAGTCTCTATAGACTCCTTGTAAGGAGTCTCTATAGACTCCTTGTAAGGAGTCTCTATAGACTCCTTGTAAGGAGTCTCTATAGACTCCTTGAAAGGAGTCTCTATAGACTCCTTGTATGGAGTCTCTATAGACACCTTGTAAGGAGTCTCTATAGACTCCTTGTAAGGAGTCTCTATAGACTCCTTGTAAGGAGTCTCTATAGACTCCTTTTAAGGAGTCTCTATAGACTCCTTGTAAGGAGTCTCTATAGACTCCTTGTAAGGAGTCTCTATAGACTCCTTGTAAGGAGTCTCTATAGACTCCTTGTAAGGAGTCTCTATAGACTCCTTGTAAGGAGTCTCTATAGACTCCTTGTAAGGAGTCTCTATAGACTCCTTGTAAGGAGTCTCTATAGACTCCTTGTAAGGAGTCTCTATAGACTCCTTGTAAGGAGTCTCTATAGACTCCTTGTAAGGAGTCTCTATAGACTCCTTGTAAGGAGTCTCTATAGACTCCTTGTAAGGAGTCTCTATAGACTCCTTGTAAGGAGTCTCTATAGACTCCTCGTAAGGAGTCTCTATAGACTCCTTGTAAGGAGTCTCTATAGACTCCTCGTAAGGAGTCTCTATAGACTCCTTGTAAGGAGTCTCTATAGACTCCTTGTAAGGAGTCTCTATAGACTCCTAGTAAGGAGTCTCTATAGACTCCTTGTAAGGAGTCTCTATAGACTCCTTGTAAGGAGTCTCTATAGACTCCTAGTAAGGAGTCTCTATAGACTCCTTGTAAGGAGTCTCTATAGACTCCTAGTAAGGAGTCTCTATAGACTCCTTGTAAGGAGTCTCTATAGACTCCTTGTAAGGAGTCTCTATAGACTCCTTGTAAGGAGTCTCTATAGACTCCTAGTAAGGAGTCTCTATAGACTCCTTGTAAGGAGTCTCTATAGACTCCTTGTAAGGAGTCTCTATAGACTCCTTGGAAGGAGTCTCTATAGACTCCTTGGAAGGAGTCTCTACAGACTCCTTGGAAGGAGTCTCTACAGACTCTTTGAAATGTGTTTCTGTAGACTACCCCCGGCGGACCCTCCCTTGTGAAATTTCTGTAGAAGACCTTCAGACCTTCTTTCAAAATAGTTTCTTCACACAATACCTATGCTGATAGCAACAGATGTACCCCATACCCCTTAGACTTTGTGCTTTAGATTAAAATTAATGTATGGTACATATGCACATATGTATGTTCAGATGTGTTCCCACTGAATTTCTATTGTACACACACACAGCATTCCCACAGCATGATAAGTCATCCAATCCATTCGAACTATACGTCATTTGTAATTATCATCGAAACGAACTCGGTTGTTTAGTTGTTTGGTTGGTGGACCATTGACCATTAAATTATCTGCTCAAAAATTAATTATAATCAAGTAGGTACCCCTCGAATAATAGACACTCACACATACACTTATATACATATGTATCTAATAATTCTTTGGCACACTTTCCGAGGCACAGTTGTGGATGTGTTTATGTGTTATGGTTTCTTGTCAACTTGAACTTGGCTGTAATAAAGCATGTGTTCTTTTTTTTTGCACAGCGAATGAATGCAGACATTCAGATATACTAACGACATTTATTGGGGTGGGTCGGTATGTAAGGAAATATAACGATATTTTTTCTATCGTAGAAAATATCATGGAAGAGATGGACCTATGTTCGCTATAGTGTTCACAAGAGTCACTGATTTTGAGGTCTACAAATGGTAGAAACTAAAATTATTTTATTATTTAAAGAATTTCCCTAGACCCACCTTAATGTAATGTTTATAGAATTCCCATGTCTCAATATCTCAAATTTAAGAAAATAAAAAAATTCCACTATTTTGTTTTCGCTTTTTTTTCTGTTGTTGATATTGAAGTAAATTCGATTAGGCGTAGTTTATGGACAATCTCCTAAGACGCCAGCAAAAAAAGAAAATAAGCCGCCAAATAAAAAAAAAAAAAAAAAAATAAAAATTAAATTAGAACGAAAGCGGATAGAAAGACTCATCTGACAATAAATAAAAATTAAATAATTATTGACATAAAATGTAATTAAAATTGTTGTTATTTTTTTTAGTTAATTCCCAACACGAAATTCTGGAATAGGAAAACACTGAATATTCTGGAAGTGTTGACACGCCATGAAGCTTTTTGATATGGATCATCGACATTTGTATGAAGATACCCTTCAGTTTGTCTACTCAGATTCCCCTTGGCTCATCTATAAAAACTCCCCTTGGCTCGTCTATAAAGACTCCCCTTATCTCGTCTATAAAGACTACCCTTGGCTAGTCTATAAAGACTCCCCTTGGTTAGTCTCTAAAGATTCTCCTTTGCTCGTCTATAAAATCTTCCCTTGGATTGTCTCTAAAGACTCCCCTTGATTCGTCTATAAGGACTCACCTTGAATCGTCTATAAGGACTCACCTTGACTCGTCTATAAGGACTCCCCTTGGGCTCGTCTATAAAGACTCCCCTTGAGCTCATCTTTAAAGACTCCCCTTGGGCTCGTCTATAAAGACTCCCCTTGAGCTCGTCTATAAAGACTCACCTCATCCCTTCTCGGCTCGTCTATAGAATCCTTCTGGGCCCGTCTGTAAAGACTGCCCTGGGCTCGTGTACAAAAACTCCCCTTGGCTCGTCTATAAAAACTCCCCTTGGCTCGCCCATAAAGACTCCCCTTGGCTCGTCTCTAAATACTCCCTTGGCTCGTCTCTAAATACTCCCCTGGGCTCGTCCATAAAGACTCCCTTTGGCTCATCTATAAAGACTCCCCTTGTCTCGTCTATAAATACTCCCCTGGGCTCGTCTATAAAGACTCCCCTTGGCTCGTCTATAAAGACTCCCCTTGGCTTGTCTGTAAATACTTCCCTTGGCTCGTCTATAAAGTCTCCCTTGGCTAGTCAATAAAGACTCCCCTTGTCTCGTCTATAAATACTCCCCTGGGCTCGTCTATAAAGACTCCCCTTGGCTCGTATCTAAAGACTCCCCTTGGCTCGTCCATAAAGACTCCCTTTGGCTCATCTATAAAGACTCCCATTGACTCGTATCTAAAGACTCTCCTTGGCTCGTCTATAAAGATTCCCTTTGGCTCGTCTATAAGGACTCCCCTTGGTTCGTCTATAAAGACTCCCCTTGGCTCGTCTATAAAGACTCCCATTAGCTCGTCTATAAAGACTCCCATTGACTCGTATCTAAAGACTCTCCTTGGCTCGTCTATAAATACTTCCCTTGGCTAGTCTATAAAAACTCCCCTCGGCTCGTCTATAAAGACTCCCCTTGGGCTCGTCTTTAAAGACTCTCCTTGGGCTCGTCTATAAAGACTCCACTTGGGCTCGTCTATAAAGACTCCCTTTGGGCTCTTCTATAAAGACTCTCCTTGGGCTCGTCTATAAAGGCTCCCTTTGGCTAGTCTATAAAGATTCTCCTGGGCTCCTTTATAAAGACTCTACATAGATTCCCATCAACTCATCTATAAAGACTCCCCTGGGCTCGTATGTAAAGACTCCCCCTGGCCCGAATCTAAAGGCTCCCCTTGGCTCGTCTATTAAGAATTCCCTTGGGTCGTCTAAATAGCTACGGTCCCATCTCGTCTACACCTTGTCTATTGAGACTCCCTAAAAATCGCCTAGAGCTCCTAGAGCTCGTCTATTTATTCATCAATAATTGATTTTAATATTTTTTCTCTCTTTTTCTTTCTCTCTCTTTCTCTCTCTCTTTTCAGTGGCAAACGGGCGAAAGAAGTTTTCTCTTCCTGCTCTACCGATGGATTTGGGCTGCATTCTTTCTGGGCGTCTTCCTCTCCTGCCTGGTCTTGCAATTTTCCGAAGGCAAATATTTCATCTTCCTAACGAATTGGGGAATAATGCTGTGCACGGCGACACAGTTTGTAGCAGCCCTTCTGGCTACCCAATGGTATTTCGATGTAGATGCCGTCCGCTCATCGGCCTATGAAATTAGCCAGCTGAAGAAAACACCAAGACTGATTAAATTCTATTGGCTGCTGCACGATGTTTCACTGCCGCTGGCGTTGATCATCACAACGATTTATTGGTCATTTTTGCATGGGAAAATGAGTAAGTTCGATGCCAAGACCGATTTCTTAATAGAAGGATTTGTTTCTCAATATCCAAAAAGTGCTCACAGCACGGGGAAAGATTCTATTATAGAATAAATCCTCAGGACTCGAGGAAAAGGGGAGCAATTTTTTTTTTTTAGAAAAAATCTTCTGGGTCTGAGAAAAGATTTTTCCCTAGAAAAATTCTTCAGGGCCAGAGACATATTTTCTCTACATTATCAAGTTCCATGAGTTTGTTAAAATATCGAAAAAATACTTCAGGTTCTAAGGAGATATTTTCCTATAGAAAAAAATCTATATAGAAGACCAGAAGGGAGTCGATAAGAAGGAGGACTTTAAATGCGACAGTGTTTTTATAGGTGGTTCTTATAGAGGGAGCCTGAAGGCAATCCTTATAGACGGTTCAAAGGAGTCTTTATAGCCGATTAAAACGGAGTCTTTTTAGACGACTCCAAAGGGGGTCTACTTTTAGCCGACTGATAGAGGACCTCAAGGGCGTCTCATAGGCAACCTCGAGGAAGTGTAAAGGTAGTATTTTTACAAGAAACGGAGTCGTTTTAAAATATCTAGAGATTATCATTAGACCAAGGAAGTCTTTATAAAAGATCTCTTTAGCCGAACCGCAGGGAGTCTTTATAAGTAACTTCAAGGGAGTGTTAAGGCAGCCTTTATAGTCGACTCGAAAGGAATTTTTTAGACAACCGGAAGGGCGTCTATAGGCGTGCAAGACAAAGTCGTTTTAGACAATCGGAACGGAGTTATTTGACCTAAAGGTGATCTTTATTTCAGACCTTTAAAAGTGACCTAAATAAACTTTAGCTGACCTAAAGGGTAGATTTTGTAGACGACACCAATGTAGTCTTTAAAGGTATCCTATAGACGAATCGAAAGGCTATCAAAACGAAGTCCTTTTAGAAGATCACTAGGAAGTAATATGGCCCAAAAGAAGTCTTTAAAAAAAGTCTCTTTTAAATCGACTTCAAGGGAGTCTACCTTGAGCGAGTCCAAAGGCAGTATTTTTAGACGACCGGAAAGGAGTCTTTACATGAGATCAAATCTGAGGTAGTTATTTGACTTGAAAGGAGTGTTTACAAAAGGCCTCTTTTTATTCGACCTGAAGGGAGTCTTTACAGAGGACCTCAAGGGAGTCTTTGTAGGAAACCTCGATGAAGTCTAAGGCAGTCTTTTCAGACGAAGGGAGTCTTAAAGCGACCCTTTACGGGCAACTTCGAAAGCGTCTTTATTGGCAATCTGGAAAGAAGTATAAAGACATTTTTTAGATGTCTCGAAGTGAGTCTCTATGTGCGATTAAAACTGAGTCATTATAAAAGATCTGAAGGTTGTCATTTGACCTGAATAGTCTTTATAAAAGGTATTTTTATCCGACCTGAAGGGAGTCTTTACAAAGGACTTCAAGGGAGTCTTTGTAGGAAATCTCGAGAAAGTCTAAAGGCAATTTTTTACACCACTTTAGGGATGGGTGGGGACCCTCTACAGGCGACCAAAACGGAGTTGTTATGAAGGATCTGAAGGTTAGCAATTTGACCTGACGAAATCTTTGTAAAAGCCATTTTTTAGCTGACCTGAAGCCGAAGGCTTTATAAGCAACCATGAGACAGTGTTTATAGCCAACCTGGAGGGAGCGAAAAGGAAGTCTCTATAGACGACTCGAGAGGAGTATTTTTGACGACTGGAAGGGGATATTTAAAGGTGACCAAAACGGAGTCGTCTTAGAAGATCTGATTTGAGTAATTTGGCATGAAAGGAGTCTTCATAGAAGACCTTAGGGGTTTTTTAAGAGACTAGCTGGAATTTGTCTTTCTGGACGAAATCGAGTTGACTCATAAAAATAAACTGAAGCAAGTTCTTGCAGGCAACCTGAATGGTGATCTTAATTATCAACCCCAAGGAAGTCTTTATATGCAATCTCGAGGTAGTCTGTCGGCAGTCTTTTAGACGATCGGGAGGGAGTCTTTATGGACGACCAAAATGTAGTCGCTTTAGAAGATTTGAAGGGAGTCATTTATGAAGTCATCAAGTCGAGTTGAAGTGAGTCTTTCTGGAAAAACTCAGGATAATATTTCTGGAAATTATAAATAATCTGAGGTTAGTCCCTGCAAGTAACCTGAAATGGGTATCTTAAAGACATCCTGAATGGAGAGTGCTATTATAGGCGACGTAAAGGAAGTTTGTTGATGACCTGTAGTCTTAATGACCTAAAGGGATATTTCTATTGGTCCTTCTAAAGCTTACAATCATTATATAAAAATATCCCCTTATTTAAACTATTCTGAGGGTCTTGACCGTATTTTCCAATATTTTGTGTTGAGATGGCCCCTATGTAGAGTTCTTCTGAAGGGACCCGTTGTTGAAGTCCTGAAGAGATTTTTTAAAGAAGCCCTTTAAGAGTATTTCTATAGAGTTTAGGTTCTCCATAGAAATACTCTTTAAGGGGGTGAATCTTTCTAGACGACCTCTAAGACGTCCCAAGGGGCATTAGCACCAAATATAGATAAAGTCGAGGTAGCCTTCAATGAGTTTATTTTTTACTATTTTTCATTCCAGACAAACCCAATCGCTTTCCCGTCATGAGTTTTGTCACGCACTGCATGAATTCTGTCTTTATGTTGGTGGATTTCTTGGTGGTGGCATTTCCGTTTCGTTTACTGCACACCATCTATGCCATGCTCTTACCCATCACATTTTGTCTGTTTACAGTGGTCTACTTCTTTTGCGGGGGAACAGATGAGTAAGTATCTAGTCAGTGGGTAATTCACCTCTAAATCGCCTCTAACTGGCAATTCTCTCTTTTTCCAGTTTTGGTAATCATTATGTTTACCCCCTGTTGGATTGGACAAAGCCTACCCGTGGCCTCATAACGTTTGCTGGGGTGTTTGGCCTATATTGCATTTATTGTATACTCCTGTATGTCCTGTTCAAATTTAAACGGTTTCTACAACGTTCACTGAGTGCAGTTTGGTCGCCACATTGTGTGGGATTGATTTAAGGGGGGAGATACTTTTAGCGATAACAACAACATTTTCATTAGTTGTGATTCGAAATAGAAAGGGGGAGGGGATCAATGCATGGATGAATCAACAAACAAGTGTTCCTGATCATAAAATGATGACGTTTTTTTGTGATCACCACCACGAAACTTGCCTACCCTTTTCCCCCCTTTGAATCACCAACATTTCCATTTCAAATCTTTCAAATTATTCATCGCCTGCTTTTCTAGAGGGGTATAAATTTAGCTTAAGATTTCATAAAGAAAAGTATTACCAACACATTCTCACGACAATTTTATTTTATTTTTTTTAATTTTTCCATATAAGATATAAAGACACTATAAGTATATAAGTGAAACGTTTGGTATAATAACAGATTTCCAATTCAATTTATTTGAATTTTGTCCAATAATTTTCAAACTTTAGTACGTAAGCCAGCAAATCTTTTCCCTCCAAAAAATAAAATAGATTTAATCAAAGAAAAATATTATTTCAGGTCAGACAACGTCCACTAAGTATTAGAATATCGATATAACGAATTGCATGTAAATTAGCTTAAGCTGTATCTGTAGTTGTTGCAAGTAAATAGAAAAATTATATTTGTGTTCCTTATATACATGTTTATATATAAATGAAATAAATGATAAACAATTGAATTGAAAAATAACGATTTAAGTGATTTTTTGGGGGAGGTACCAGAAGGATTGAACCGATATTTCCCCTCCTTCATACCAGATCTTGAGTTGGTAGAAATTTTGAGGTGTGTGAAAATTTAAAAGATTCGAAAGCTTATTTTGCTTTTTATGAGGGTTTTGGTTATTCAAAATTTTTAACCCTTTGTGGGAGAGGTAGCAGAAGGAGTGGACCAATATAACTCTTTTTCACACCAGGTCATGTGTTGATATAAAAAATATAATGTAGGAAATTGGAAGAGAATCCGAAACTTATTTCTATTTTTATAAGCCTTTTGATTATTCAAAATTTTGACACCTTTGTGGGGGAGGTACCAGTAGGAGTGGACCGATATTAACTGTCTTCACACCAGATCTTGTTTTGATGAAAGTATAAGGATGTGTGAAATGTAAAGAGAATCGGATGCTTATTTCCCGTTTTGTTAGCCTGTTGATTATTCAAAATTTTGACCCCTTGTGGGGGAGGTACCAGAAGGAGTGGGTCTATATGTCTAATATTCATAACAGATCTTATGTTAATAAAAATATTAGGATGTGTGAAATTTGAAGGGAATCGGAAGCTTATTTCGCATTTTATGCGAGTTTTTGTTATTCCAAATTTTGACCCCTGTGTGGGGGAGGTACCAGAAGAAGTGGGTCCATATGTCTAATCTTCACAAAAGATCTTGGGTTAATAAAAATATTGGGATGTGTGAAAACTGAAGAGAATCTCATGCTCATTTCGCATTTTGTGATCGTTTTGATTACTCAAAATTTTGACGCCTTGGTGGGGAGGTACCAGTAGGAGTGGACCGATATTACCTGCCTTCACACCAGATTTTGTGTTAATAAAAATATTGGGATATGTAAAATTTGAAGAAAATCGGAAGCTAATTTCGAATTTCGTGAGCGTATTGGTCATTTCAAATATTGACCCCTTTGTGGGGGAGGTACCGGAAGGAGTGGATCCATACATCCCACCTTCACACAAAATCTTGTATTAAGAAAAATAGTGAGATGTGTGAAATTTGAAGAGAATCGGAAGCTTATTTCGCATTTTATAAGAGTTTTGGTTATTCAAAATTGTGACCCCTTTGTGAGGGAGGTACCAAACCAAATTTTCACATCAGATCTTGTGTTAATAAAAATATTGGGATGTGTGAAATATGAAGAGAATCGGAAGCTTAGTTCGCATTTTATAAGAGTTTTGGTTATTCAAAATTGTGACCCCTTTGTGGGGGAGGTACCAGAAGGAGTGGACCGATATCTACCATCTTCACACCAAATCTTGTGTTGATATAAATATTGAGATGTGTGAAATTTGAAGAGAATCGGCTGCTTATTTTTCATTTTGTGAGCGTTTTGGTTATTCAAAATTTTGACCCTGTGTGGGGGAGGTACCAGAAGGAGTAGGCCGATATCTACGATATACTCACATCAGATCATTTGTAAATAAAAATATTGGGATTTATTAAATTAGAAGAATAGAATCAGGTGAATACTTCGCATTTTGTTGGCGTTTTGGTTATTCAAAATTTTGACACCTTTGTGGGGGAGATATCAGAAGGAGTAGACCTACAGGGAGGGATGAAAAAACTACAACCTACTTCAGACTGCTGTCATTTCTAAGTCACTCGTCCGACAGCTGTTAAAATTATTCCGGTGACAGCTCATTATATTGTTTACAAGCGTACAATCTTGACTTAATCGAAAACCACGTCGCAGTGGCCGAAAAATGGCTCGGCTCGTGAGCTGAACATATCGCAATATTCCATTCGGCAAATATTGAAAGATTAGCTCGGGGTATAGCCATTGAAATTCCAAAAAGTGCAAGAACTTGCACCGCAACAGAAAGAAAATAGACTCAAAAGAGCTGAAGAGTTGCTTCGCTTGTCCGAAAGTGGTGAACTGCCGAATTTGGTTTTCTCCGCTCCGATGAGAAAAAATTCGTTGTCCAGCAGCTTGTAAACAAACAAAATGATCGTGTTTTATTGCCAAAGAGGTCAGCTGAAAATGTGCACCTTGGGTTGGCCGCCAGAACTCAAGCGCCGGCCATGGTGATGGTGTGGGCCGCCATAACAGCCGATGGTCGCTCTCCGCTCATATTAATCGACCGTGGCATCATAATAAATGCCAAATATTATTGCAAAAATATTCTGGAGGGTGTATTAAAGCCTTGGACACGCAAACCATTTGGCCGCAGACCTTTTACATTCCAACAGGACTCAGCACCATCGCACTCAGCACGCGCCACCCAGAATGGTTACAAAATGATGTTCCTCGCTTCATTTCCAGCACACAATGGCCACCAAAATCTCCGAATACCAATCCGTTGCACTATTGTGTCTGGAGTATTTTGGAAAGCAAAGTTGACACTAAAAAATACCAAAGTGTCGATCACCTCAAGTAAGCGCTTCTCCGGGAATGAGCCAAAATACCGCAGAGAAACATTTGGGCAGCGTGTGAGGGTTTCATTGGCCGTTTGAAGGTCATAATTCGTGCCAAAGGTGACGAATTCGTGCCAAAGGTGACAAATCTAAAGATATTCTAAAATATGATGCTATTTCCGACATTTTTTGCACCCTGTATATTTCTAATCTTCCTTTCAGATTTTGCGTTGATATAAATATTGAAATTTGTGAAATTTAGAAAGAATATAAAGCGTATTTCGCATTTTGTGAGCGTTTTGGTTATTTAAAATGTTTGCAGCTTTTTGGTACCAGAAGGGATGGACCAATATCTGCCATAGACCCAGAAGGAGTAGATCGATGTTGCTCCGAACTCGATCTAAGTTTGATACCAAATTTGGACCAAATCATATACTCTCTTTAGCAGACGGGGAGACATAAGGACGGACCGACTCACATAGATCCACTCCAAATTTCCTGAAACGGATTTGGTCCAAAGATACCTGGGGTTATTTCGATGAGCCACTTTTTGCCCGTACTTTTTGGTACATATACTCTGTAACCATCTGGCTGAGGGTATAAAAAATCCACAATTATCGTCGAAAAAAATCGTCCTTAAATTTACATTTTTTATTCGAGAATTCTTGATCATAAAGTCACCATCCTCCTCGTATTTTCCTTCATGCTCATTATGAAGCCACGCTTCTACTTGTCCACAAGTCGCTTTCAATTGAACCTGCTTCTAAAACAATCCACCCAAACCTAAATCAAAATGCTGAATTATGTTCATTTGTTTATTTATTTTACCGCCGGGGAATATGACGCATTGACTTCAGTAGCGCTATCACCTAAGAATGATGGCGTTGTTGCTGTTGTTCTTCTTGTTGTTGTTATTATTGCCTTTACTTTCTCTCGTTTGTTGTTAATGCGACACCAAAAGCACGCCGATATTTGCAGCAGCGCCATTCTATTCTTCCCACTAGTGTTCCCAACTTAGAGCTGTTATCTACTCAGAATGGCTTAGACCTCCAAGTCGAACGAACAAACGGAACCGGTGATTAAAGTCTAAAGCTTGTTTCGGGGCAAAAAAACAGAATCGAATTCTAAAGATAGTGAAAACAAAAGAAAATCGAAATGAAATATCTCAGCAGCAGCCTGGATTGTTTGCGTTGTGAATTGAAGCTACGAAATATTGGTTTTCACCACAACCAGCTGGATGAGTTCTATCGATCGAAGGTTTGTATGTCCTTTGGAAGAAGAAAAAACTTAAAATTTTGAAATGAGCTGAGAGGACGGCTATATGGACGACAAGAGGATGACGTTGTAGTCAACAGACAAAAGTTTTATTAGATGCCCATGAGCGAGACAAGAAAACCGGCTTTATAGAGGTAAATAAGGACTTTTGCGGAGCAGAGTGTAGTTTATATCATGGACAATTTGGGGTGGGGCTTAAGACGACTTGAAAGGCGACATTACAGTCGACTAATAGGAGGCCTTATAAGCAACCAGAAGAAAACTCTGCCTTTATAAATGACCAAAAAAGGGTTTTCATGGACGTCCATATGGACAGCTTCGGAGAAGATTAGAAGAAATAATCTATAAAAGATGCCGTTTTTAGTGGAGGTTTTTTTTTAAATTAGCTTAATACTCGACCTGAAATCGAAAATTTAAGACGTCTAGGAGGCCCGAGAATACGAAATACGCTTTTATAAAGAAAACCTTAAAATTAGTGATCTTAATAGTGGTAAAAGTCAAACTGAAGTTAGGTTAGGTAGATAATGGTCCTGAAGGACAGCTTTTTATGGGAACTGAGTAGTTTTATAGACGACCACACGGTCAGCTTCAAAGAAAAATGGAAGGACATCTTTATAAACGATGACTTCTTTTCAGCGGATTTATAGATTTACAGAACTGAAGGTCGGCTTTTTTGTCGACCAGGAGGTTAGCTAGGCGGTTGTTTATAGGCGACCTGAAAAACGACTTTAAGGATGACCAGGTGAGCAGCTATCAGAAGAATGGTTTTGAAAGGACCTGAAAGTCGCCCTTATAAAGACGACCTAAAAAATAGTTTTGTGATGATCTTAATAAGGGTTAAAGACAGGCTGAATGGGGGTTTTATAATTAACCTGGAGAACAGTTTTTATGCCAACTGAAGAGGGTCTTCAATGAGACTTGAAGGGTGGATTTATAGATGTTTTATAGGTGACTAGAAAAACGGATTTAAAGATAATTGCATAATTTATTGGATGACCAGAGGGTAGCTATATGAAAAATCAAAATGATGGCTTCATAAAGGACCCGAAAGTCGCCTTTATAAAGACGACCTAAACATTAGTTTTGCGATGATCGTAATAGCGGTGAAAGACGGGCTGAAGGGGGTTTTATAATTTATCTGAAGGACAGATTTTATGCCAACTGAAAAGGGTCTTAAGGGAGATCTGTAGATTAAGACAAGCCGTAGAAAGGTTTTATAGGTGACTAGAAAGACGGCTTTAAAGATAATTGCAGGACATTCTTATAGAAACACTGAAGGACAGTATTTTTACATTTTATTGGATGACCAGAGGGGCAGCTATGTGCAAAATCAAAAGGATGACTTTAAAAAGGATAAAAACTGCCCGAAAGGGCGAGCTGGACAGCTGTTTTATCGGTGTAGTAGGAAAGTTGGTTTAAAGACGCTTATAAGGTAGATTTTTCTGGTTTCTGAATATCGTCGTTTATAAATGATCAAAAGTTTAGATTATTAGACGACCGAAGTTCGGTTTTATTGTAATATTAAAAAAATCTGACACCATGGAGGTGCTTTAAACTTAATAAATTTTAGAAATCAAGGATTATACAGGTATTTTAAAAAAATATCTGCGGTTGTGGAGGTCCTTTATATAATTGTCTTTTTAGCTGCACGATTATGGGGTCCTTTAAAAATATTTTTAAAAAAATTCCCGATTATGAATTTTCTTTATAATTTTTTAGCTGCACAATTTTGGAGGTGCTTTAAAAATCCATAATTATAGGGGCCCTTAAAAATTTATTATAACAACCAAAATTATGGAGATAATTTAAAAGCGGTTATGAAGGTCCTTTAAAATAATATCTTTAAAAATATTTATGGTGGGTTAAAAAATATTTTCTACGAATTTTACGATTATGGAGGTTCTTCAATAATAATATTTTTTTAAAATCAATGATAATTGAGGTTATTTCAAAATATTTTTAAATAATCGACGATTATAGAGGTATTTGAAGCAAATGTTTTTAAATCAATTATTTTTAAAAATATAAAATTTTGGAGGTCCTTTAAAATATTTTTTCAAAAAAAAAAAAAAAAAAAAACGAATAAGGAGGTTCTTTCATTTTTTTTTAAAAAATCCGCGATTTAAAAAAATCGACATAAGAATGTCCTTTAAAAATCAAAAATAATGGAGGTCATTTAAAAAAATATTTTTAAAAAATCCAAAATTGTGGAAGTCTTTTAAAAAATATTTTGAAAAAAAAAAACACGATTATGGAGAACTTTTATTACAATTTATTTTAAATCTACGATTATGGGAGTCCTTTAAAAATCTACGACCCGACGGGCCCTTTAAAACTATTTTTAAAATAATCCACGATTATGGAGGTCCTTTAAAAATTAAAAAAAAAATTGTCATAATGGATGTCCTTTAAAAATCGACGATAATGGAGGTTCTTTAAAAAATGTTTTTAAAAATTTCTCCATTATGGGGATCTTTTAAAAATATTCTAAAAATAATCCACAATTGTTGAAATTATGGAATTCCTCTAAAAATGCCAAAAAATCCTCGATTTTGAAAGTTCCCTAACATTTTTTTTTTAATTCAAAATTTTAAAAATCCTTTAAAAAATATTTAAAAAAATTCCACGATGACGGAGGACTTTTTAAATATTTTTTAATCCACGATTATGAAGGTATTTAAAACAAAAATTAAAAAAAACGCTATAATGGATATCCTTTAAAAAATCGGCAATAATTGAGGTCCTTTAAAAATATTGATAAAACAAAGGAAGGAGGATCTAAAAAATATTCTAAAAAATCCACGATTATGGAGGTGCTTTACAAATAATTTCAGAAAATCGAGGATTATGGAGATACTTGGATTTATTTATTATTATTATTATTTACGATTATGGAGGTCCTTTAAAAAATGTTATTTTAAAAATCCACGTTTAAAAAATTATTTAACCATTATGAAGATCCACGATCATGAGGTTCATTTAAATAGTTTTTTTAAAGAATCCAAAATTTTTAAAGTTTTTTTTAATATTTTAAAATAATTCACGATTACGGTGTTCATTTTAAATACATTTTTTAAATTGACGATTATGGAGGTCCTTAAAAAATATTTTTAAAAATCCACAATTTTGGAGCTACTTTAAAAATATTTAAAAAAAATGATTTAAAAGGTCCTTTAAAAAATATCTTTAAAACTTCAATCTTTAAAAAACATTTTTTAAAAATTTTGAACGTCTTTTAAAAATATTAAAAAAATCTACAATTATGAAGGCCTTTAAAAAAATATTTAAAAAAAAAAAAATATGCCATAATATAGAACTTTTTTAATCGATTTTTTTTAAAATTCTCTAATAAGGCTCAGGCATTTTTTGAAAATATATTTATTGAAATCGTTTGTTTGATTAACAAATTCGTCTTGACATTCCAGTTCAATATCTATTTAAAAAATTAATAACAAATAATTGAAAATTAAACACAATCAATTAATACAATGTGACTGACATTGAATCAAATAACCTTTTCTGACACGCTTAGGCAGGAAATTACACAATAATTAAAAAAACCACTGAAAAAAAGTGCACACCTGGACCCAGGGACGTACATAGTAATGGATTTTAAAGCCAAATAGAGGAAGTGAGGGTAGCGAACTAGAAAAATTAAGTTTTCCATGTAAAATATGCAAAAAAAATTGCGAAAAGTAGACATTTCGTTGAGGACCCGGGTCCCCACTTGGCCTACGTCCATGCCTGAAATAGTTCTGCCAGAAGAAATTAAAACGCACTGCACAATCTAAACACCAATTAATTTTTCTCAAACTGTTTCTTTTAGTGGCAAAGTGAAAAAACATGCGTTTGGTTCCTGCTCTATCGTTGGCTATGGTTCCTGATCTTTCTCACTATTTTCCTGTTATGTATCTGCAATCAATTTGCCGATGGAAAATATTTTATTTTCTTTACAAATTGGGGAATTGTGGTTTGTGTCATTACTCAGCTGTTGGCAGTGATTCTGGCAACCCAGTGGCATTTTAATTTCCTAGATGTGAGGTCAACGACATCTGAAGTCTCCCAGACGTTGAGAACTCCAAAAATTGTGGGCCTATATTGGATGCTGCACAATGTAACAATGGTGGTGGCATCGGTTATAAGTTTCATATATTGGCTGTTTTTGCATGGAAAGATGGGTAAGTATGGAGATCTCTTCCTTTAGAAGAACAAGATAAGTTCTCATAAGAACAATTTTTGATCGCCTAAAATAACACAATTTTCCTCCTTTTTAATGTTCGTCTTTTCCATCTCCAATATTATTTTTTTCTCCCTCTTTCCCCCCTCTTCCAGATAAACCCATACGCTATCCAGAGCTTACATTCATCACACATTGCCTTAACTTGGTCTTCATGCTGGTGGACTATTTCATTGTCGCGTTTCCGGTCCGTTTGATGCACACCATCTATGCCATGCTGTTCACCATCAGTTTCTTTGGCTTTAGTGGCATCTACTACCTTTGTGGCGGGACGGATGAGTAAGTTCTTGCATAATTGCCATAACCTTGTTTTCATTTTTCCCTCAATTTCTCTTTCTCTCTCTCTTTCCCCCTCTCTTTTGCAATTAATTAATAATTTTTCCTAATTACTCTTTTGTTCTTTCGTTCACCATTCACCAGCTATGGCCATCACTATGTCTACCCCTTTCTGGATTGGACAACACCGGTTAAATGTGTTCGGGCATTTTTTGGAATTTTCTTTCTGCACTGCATGTGTTCGGTTCTGCTATTTGGTCTCTATCAAGTGAAACGATTTTTACATAAAATCTATAAGGGTGATGTTCGCCGGAACGATGATGGTTTAATTTAGATGCAGTTACCTCTCCGATTCCCTCTCATCACCTTTACCTTTTACAGTGTATGTAATTTATTTATTTTTTAAGGTTAGAATAGAAGCTTGGCTTTGTAGTTATTAGCTATAGTCACAGGTTGTTCGTTATGTGAAGCGTACACCTGTCTTATTTTGTAAAGTGAGATTTATAAGAAAATTGAAAAAATATTTAAAAAAATAGATCCAAGATTTCCCTTTTTTATATCTTCTTTGAGAAATTCTAATAATAATTTTCAGTGGAAAATAAAATTTTCCTAAAATTTTTTAGGAACCCTCTATAAAAAAAATTATAATCAAAAAAAAAAGGGGAATAAAAAATATTCAATAGATATATTCAGGATCTTCCCGTTGATTTGTCTATCTAATATCTAGTAACGTGAACCTTAACGTCTATATATAAATTCGTCGCGTGGAAAATAATTAATGTTTTTTATAGAAAAAAAATCAATATTGGAACATTTACTTTGAATGCTGCTACTTCAATTGATACTTGACTCATCAAACTGAACAGCCTAAAAGTATGCTTTAACTCAAGCGTATCAATGCATTTCAAGCTGTTATACTGTTATAACCAAAAAAAAAATAAATACAAAAGACTATGCTTCCTATTGGAAGAAATAGGTTTACTGTTATAAAATACGGGGTTGAAAGGTTTTGGAAGCGGATTATGAGATATAGTCTGATTTTCTATCAAAACGGAAAGGACTGATATGGGTCATATCCGTAGTGGACAAAAGTTTGACTAAAAATATTACAATACTTTTGATCAAATCGGATATTCTATTCGAGACAAACGAACCTGGCTAAATCGTCCCCAAATAGGAAAAGGGTTTGCTCTACATCTATACGAAGAAGAAGATACCTACTGCTTCTAATCGAAAAGAAGGAATTTTTCAAAGCGCGGAACAGGTTACCCCAGACAAAAAAACCTTCTTTTTGGCGAAGAAAATACCTTTATACATACGAAGAAGAGGCATTCTATCAGAAGAAGTATAGTTCATATTCCAGGCTAAGTAGTGGTCTTTTCCTCGGCGAAGAAGAAGAAGTTTTTTTTATCATCCAGACAAAGAAGAGGTCTTCTTCCACACAAAGCACAGTCCTATTTCTAGACAAAGAAGAGGTCTTCTTCCAATCGAAGAAGGAGTCTTCTTCTTCCAATCGAAGAAGAGGTCTTCTTCCAATTGAAAAGGAGTATTCTTCTCAGCGAATAAGACGTCGCCATCTAGAAGAAAAAGAGGTTTTCGTCTAGAAGAAGAGCAGGTATTATTCAAGTCGAAGAAAAAGTCATCTTCCAGGCGAATCGAATCGGGTCTTCGATCAATCGAAGAAGGGGTCTTCCTCCAATCGAAGATGAGGTCCTCTTCCTCTCGAATAAGATGTGAAGAAAAAGAGGATGTCTTCTTCCTTACGATGAAGAGATCTTCTTCCAGGCGAAGAAGAGGTCTACTTCCAGGCGAAGGAGAGAGATCATCTTCTCGGCAAAGAAGAGAAGATTTGAAGAGAAGAAGTACTCTCTTCTTCTATTCGAAAAAAGGTCTTCCCTTCTTCTATAGGAAGAAGAAAAATGGGCCTTTTTGGTGTACACGAAGAAGAAGTCTTCTTCAACTTCTTCTATACGGGGAAGAAGAAGAGGTTTTCTTCTGTTTCTTCTAATGGAGAAGAAGAGGTTTTCTTCTGCTTCTTCTATACGGAGAAGAAAAGGAGATTTTCTGCTTCGAAAAAGGAAAGAAGGAGAAGAAGGAGAGGTCTCTGCTTCTTCTGCTATACCAGAAGAAGAAGATGTGGTACTTCTCTGATTCTTCTATTCGAAAAAGAAGCAGAAGAGGTCTTTTTCTGCTTTTACTATACGGAGTAGAAGCAGAAGAGGTCTTTTTCTGCTTCTACTATACGGAGAAGAGGAGGAAGTCTTCTTCTGTTTCTTCTATACGAAGACGAAGAGGAAGTCTTCTTCTGTTTCTTCTATACGAAGAAGAAGAGGAAGTCTTCTTCTGTTTCTTCTATACGAAAAAGAAGAAGAGGTCTTTTTCTGCTTCTTCTATACGAAGAAGAAGAGGAAGTCTTCTTCCGCTTCTTCTATACGAAGAAGAAGAGGAAGCCTTCTTCCGCTTCTTCTATACGAATAAGAAGATGAGGTCCTCTTCTTCTTCTGTACGGAGAAGAGAAGGTCGTCTTCTTCTTCTGTACGGAGAAGAGGAGGTCGTCTTCTCTTCTTCTGTACGGAGAAGAGGAAGAGGATGTCGTCTTCTCTTCTTCTGTACGGAGAAGGGGAGGAGGAGGACATCTTCTTCTTCTGTACGGAGAAGAGGAAGAGGAGGTCGTCTTCTCTTCTTCTGTACGGAGAAGGGGAGGAAGAGGTCGTTTTCTTCTTCTGTACGGAGAAGAGGAGGTCGTCTTTTTCTTCTTCTATACGGAGAAAAAGAAGAAGTTTTCTGCTGCTTCTTCTATACGAAGAAGAAGAGAAGGAGTTCTTCTTCTTCTCCTATACCAAGAAGGAGAGAAGGAGTTCTTCTTCTATACCAAGAAGAAGAGGAGGAGGAGGTCTTCTTCTTCTATACGAAGAGGGAGAAGAGGCCTTCTCTTCTTCTATACAAAGAGGAAGAAAAATAAGTATTCTTCTCCCATACAAAGAGGAAAAAGAAGTCTTTTTCTTCTCCCGTACGAAGAGGAAAAAGAAGTCTTCTTCTTCTCCTATGCGAAGAGGAAGAATAAGTCTTTTTCTTCTTCTCCTCCTATACGAAGAGGAAGAGAAGGAACTCTTCTTCTATAAGAAAAATATAATCTGAAAAATAAGATCTTCTATACGAAGAAGAAGAGAAGTTCTTCTTATATACTAAGAAGGAGAGACAATCTTCACGAAGAACAAGATATCTTCATCTATACCAAGAGAAGAGGAGGTCTTCTCCCATAAGAGGATTTTTTTGAAAAGTGATTTTTTTGGTTCAAAATTGTAGTATTTTTGAATACATCCTAATATCTCTATGTTTCTGTTAGAACACGTGTTTTCCTGCCAAGCATACAGGTATGCATGTATGTTTTTCTATTTTATTGTTGTTAGGGTCTTTATGACTGATGCTGTCAAATGACGATCACAAAGTCAACGAAGTTTGGCCAAAAGAAAATAAAGATAAAAAAGATAAACAATACAACTTTGTGTTTATTTTGCAAAACGCGTTTCGTGAGAGAAAGAGAGAGAGAGCGGGAATTTGAAATCTCAGAGAAACTCACAATTGGCAATTACACCTGTTTGTCTGCATGCTAAATTCTGGGGTTTGCTTGCTGCTGCTGCTGCTGTATAGCAGCCAACAAGTGTGGCTCAGTTGTTAGTCCGTGTTTAAGAGTCGTGGTGTGAAGTTGCCCAGTTTCGAGAGCGGTTTCGGTGGAAATTAAATATCTTCTTTTTGACAATTTTAAGATTTGAGAAAAAAATTAAAGATTGCCGAAAAACGTCGAATGCATTAAAAAAAAGGTGTGTGTGGCTTTGTGTTGTCTGAGAATAAGAGAGAGGGTATAAAACCCAAAAAAGAAAAGAGCTCTGAGTGAACAGATTTTTTTTTGTTTATCTTGGAGAACCGCTGTCAGAAGTGCAATAACAAATAAAAAGTTACTACCAAGTTATTGTTGTTTGTTGTGTGTGTTGGTTTTTAATTGTGACCTGTAATTGCTTCCGAACAAGATCTCTTGGAAATTTGTTGTTTTTTTTTTGTTGGCCATGTAAAATGACCCCATTTACGTAGCAGGTCTTCAAAGTCTGAAGAGGATGGCGCTGAACTGTGAAAAATCCAACTTGAAAAATTAAAAAAAAAATATTATGGTTTGTAAAACTGGATGAAATTGGGAAGAGGGGGGAACTAAATTGAAAATTGTTTTTTTTTATAAAAACAAAAGTTGAATGGTTTCAAATCCGAATTCGAACTTTGTTCGTTACATAGCTACATTCAAAATTCAATAATCGCGTATAATTATTTTGGCCTCAAGGTAAGTTGTATTATTACCAGCCAAGCATTTTATGCGCCGTGCGGGTTTGCGCGTGAGTTAACTTCCGTACAACCGAAAAATAAGAAAACAAGAATTATTCTGCTTTAGATGCCAAATACAACTGATACTTTATTCAAAAAATTCTTATATTTAAGCGATTTTACAATTATTGATTTTTCTTAGAGTTAACAAAGAACAAAGAAACATAAAATCTAGAGCTATCAAGAAAAATACTTAAGCTAAAAATTTGTATTGGGTACAGTAAAAGTAAACATTTCTTTTTGGGTTATTTCCGTCATAGTTTTATTACTAGTGTTGTTATTGTGATGTTGAAGTGGAGAATTATTGCTGACGAAATAATGTCAACAATATTGGTGTTAGCTCTTTGGTGCTTATGACAATGTTGTAACTAATAATGATGTTAATAATAATGATATTAATAATAATGATGTTAATAATAATGATGTTAATAATAATGGTGTTAATAATAATGATGTTATTAATAAATGAGGTTGTGGTTGAAAATAATGAACTTAATAATAATGTTGTTTATTGGTGGCTGTAGGTAACTCGTGCGCAGTGAACATTTTTTGGACAATGTGAGTTTGCGTCTGCGCTCAATGTAAATGGCTTATAAGGAATGGCCTAAATGGTTAATCAATGATATCATTGAAATTAAATACCAATGGCCAAAAAGACTCTTTGAACTTAGGCTCTGACCCACTGAACAACAACGACGACCAGTTGGACAGTCAGCCGAAGAAGAAAGCAGGCAAGCAGAGCTAATACAAACGCATGTGGAGTTTGCTGAGAAAGCTGTTGTAAACAATAGCCTGCCTGCAGAGCTGTCAAGTATTCGGATTTTCGTAGTCTGTTGTTTTTTTGTTTTTGAATAATTATGTTTGGTCTGTTTTTTGTTGTTGTTGGCATAGCTCGAGGTCATGGGCGCTTGAATTATGTAACAAAGTTATGCTTGGATTTATAGCGTCCGATAATAATAAGCTAAAGGTTTGGTTTTCGTTTTATGAAAAGCACGCTCACTTAAACGAAATTTTAATGATTGCTTTCGACCTTCTGCTCATTAACATATTTTTTAAACAGGGTCGAAATTGTAGGGCAGTCTTCTGGATTTTTTATTAACGGGAATTCAAAAAGAGAAGACCTCCAAACATTTGTCCGTTTGTGGAAATTCCTTTAGCTTCCGCACCA